ACATGAGTCATTTGGAAATTAGTGGTTGCCTTGTTCTATAGATCTTCCTAATGTTGGCATATTCCATTATATAATATCGAAGAGTCAAATTCCTAATGTCCTTATCAATCTTAGAAATGTTTTTAAGTGTTGGAAAGCTGTCAACCTCTCATTGCAGAAAGAAATTTCCAAACTTCTAATGTTCATTTGAAAGCTAGAATTTCATCATTAGCAACACAAACTGTCAAGTTTTTTCCCTTGAAGTGACAATCTCACTTTGTTACATTTTTTTTTTAATTTAAATCACTTTGTTACATTTTTGACAGAACTTCTGCCAAATATTTAAGTCAGAATAATCCTGGTTTGTCTGAAAGTAGTTTGATCAAGTAAAAGTGGTGCTCCGTTAAAAAAAAAAAGAAAGGAAGAAAAAGAAAGGCAGTTTTAGTTCACAATTCATTCAGTTGCACAAGTGCATTTTATTTGGACAACTGTTGTACTCAGGTGTACAATAGAAATGCTTTGCATGTACTTGTATTCCTATACATTAAGAGCTGAGATCTCATAAAATTCATAATTTTTGCTATTTTATCAAAGACATTCTAAGTGAAACTGACATTATTTTTAGCATGAGAGTGAGGTGGTAAAAAAATACAACTACTAATACAGTTTGGTGCCACTGCTTTGATTTGTGCTAAGGAGCCAATAGTTTTTTTCCATCATTCCTTTTCATCATCAGTACAATGTCAATACAGTTTTTTAAAAAGTTTTTTAAAAAGATGCCTTTATTGGGGCTGGGGATGTGGCTCGAGCGGTAGCGCGCTCGCCTGGCATGCGGAGGCGCTGGGTTTGATCCTCAGCGCCACATAAAAAATAAATAAATAAATAAATAAAGATGTTGTGTCGCCCAAAAACTAAAAAAATAAATATTAAAAAAATTCTCTCTCTCTCTCTCTCTCTCTCTCTCTCTCTCTCTCTCTCTCTCTCTCTCTCAAAATGCCTTTATACCAAATATTTTTAACTTCTGACTTCTTGAAAAGGCCTCAGGGATCTATCCCATACCTTCACTCCCAAGATTTGTGGACTACTTTTTGAAAACTGCTGGAATGTGCTATCCATTTTCTTTTCTTTTCTTTCTTTCTTTCTTAATATATTTTTAATTGTACATGGACACAATACCTTTATTTCATTTTATTATTATTTTTTTTAATGTGGTGCCGAGGATTGAACCCAGCACCTCATGCATGCTAGGTAAGTGCTCTACCACTATGCCACAACCCTGGCCCCTCTTTCTTTCATATATATGTATATGTGTGTGTGTGTGTGTGTTTGTGTGTATATATCTTTATATGTTTTTTTAGTTGTCAGTGGTTCTTTATTTTATATGTAGTGCTGAGAATCACACATGCTAGGCAAGCGCTCTACAACTGACCACAACTGCAGCCCCCAAATTCTTTCTTTAAGAAAATATGTAAAAAGCACAGAAGCTGTTGTTAGAAGCTGGTGATCTACCATGTTAAACTGACTATATTGTTATTTCAGGGTATTTATTGCAGTTAATCACCATATACGGTAGTCCATGATTTAGGGCTTAGGTGACTTAATCACAGAATCTACTCTTTGTTTCAAAGTTCGTATCCTCCAAAAAGGGTTAATATTGGACAACATGGCCTCTCTGTTCTCATGTTTTTCCTGTTCTGACACTGGGGAGTTCATTTGAGCATGAAAATGAACTAGGCATTAACTAGACTTTTGTTTAACTGACTTAGGCTTTCCCTTGGGTGTTCCTGTTGGCAGAGCTGCTATACACCCTTCCCAAGGTCATCTTGGTAGCCAGGATCATTGATGGGGGTATTAAGCCAAATTTCTTGAGAATAAATAGACTCAGGATCTGAGGATTGGTTGTAGTTGCTGTTCAGCTAACTTTTTGACCTTAATCATTCACTTCATTGTACCTCTCTCTGGTTCTTTATTTTGTAAAATGAAAAGAACTAAACTAAATTACATCTAAGCTTTTTTTCCTTCCTAATTCTATGTTGCCATAGCAATTAAACCAGGAGAATTTGCCTTCCACCCTCGGCCTGATTGCACAGCATGTGAGCTCAGCAAAATTTAATGTATATCACAGGATGAAGGATGGATGGCATGGTCAGAGAAAAAAATGAGAAGGGCTATTCAACAACATTAAGCCCAAATTATAGATGTAATAACCCTAGTTTTCTCTTTCATTAAAAAAAAATAGCTTGGTTTGGTTTTAAAATTGTGACAGCAATATATGTTTTAATAGGAAGTTAGAAATAATCACAAACAAAAGAAAATATTAAAAAGATATACAGTCTACCCAACCAGAAAAATCAGTTACTAATAGCTTCCAAAATATCTTCTGTCTACAGCTTATTTTTTCTTTTCTTTTTTTTTCTGGTTGTAGATGGACAGAATCCTTTTATTTTATTTATTTTTTTATGTGGTGCTAAGGATCGAACCCAGTGCCTCACGCATGCTAGGCAAGCACTCTGCCACTGAGCTACAGCCCCAGCCCCTGTCTACAACTTTTTAAAAAACAAATGAAATGGCCATACTTATTGTCGAAGGCCGGCTGGCTGGGCAAAATCTTAAAATGGCCATTTTTCCTCTCGCCCTATCTGTACGGGCCACCAAATGCCTGGCTGGGCACAATCAGGAGCCACTTGTCAAAAGAAACTAACTTTATTTTTAGAACCACACACGCCAAACAAAACAGCCTCTCAGGAAAAACCCTCAGAGCCTCAACTGCCACCACCGGCTTCCCACAAGCCTCTCTCTCCAACACCAGCTTCTCTCCACCTCCCACAATCCTCCTGCTCTTGAGGACGATTGGCTGGGTCACGTGGGCGGAGCCAAAAATAAAGTTAATATAATATAAATATCCTTCCATAATATAAAAGACTACACAGTCCATATGTTGTTATATGACATTTGATTAATCTCTATCTTTGGACACGTCAACTATTTCCAACTCCTTGCTATGGGTAATAGTACTTAGATAAACATTCTTATTATGCTTTTCCAAGTCCTTACTTATTTTCTTAATAAAAATTCCTTATGAGTGGTATTGGTATATTACAGGGCATATAAATCTTGTAGGTCTTTGGTACTTTTTATCATATTCTTCTCCTAAAATCTCACACAAATTATACTGAAACAGCAGAACATGTAAGTGTAGTAGTTTGCATATTTGATACATAGTTTCTAAGCATTTCAGTATTTTTTATCCTTACCAGTTTTATAAATAGAAACTTCTCTTAATGTTCATTTCCTTCCATTTTTTTGATGGTTTATTCAATGGGTATAATTCCTTAAGAAAAATTTGGGAATGTGATCTAGAAACTAAAAAAGTTGTTTTCTAATGCAAAAATTTATTCATATAGAAAATCTTAGGGCTGTGGTTGTGGCTCAGTGACAGAGCGCTTGCCTTGCACATGTGAGGCACTGGGTTCGATCCTTAGCACCACATAAAAGAATAAAATAAAATAAAGGTATCATGTCTATCTACAACTAAAAGAATATTAAAAAAAGAAAAATCTTAGAAAGTAAGACAAACTTCAGTTATTCATAAGTTTAATACTATTTGTATGTCTGACTGTAATTAAATAAAATTGAGACAGTTCCCCTAAATTCAATGGGCGTAAACTCCAAATTTTAGGACAATGGTGCTAAAAAAATAGTCTAATAAAGAAAGGGTTTTAAGTTACAAATATCAAAAGCTAGACTGTGATTATTTGTAAAAAAACGGATAAAACAAAGATGGAAATTTTGTTTTTTGTTTTTGGTTGATTTTTTTGCCACTGATTTTGGTCAGAAACATCCTGATACTTACTCAAATTTAAATATTATCTTCCCTTTGGTTAAAGCAAAGCACAGGGGCTGGGGATGTGGCTCAAGCGGTAGCGCGCTCGCCTGGCATGCGTGCAGCCCGGGTTCGATCCTCAGCACCACATACAAACAAAGATGTTGTGTCCGCCAAAAAACTAAAAAAAAAAAATTTAAAAAAAAGACAAAGCACAGCACTTCCTGGGGAGAAATACCTAGACTGAAGATGCAAAGAACCAAGCAAGTTGATGTTTATTGAGTACCTGTGTGTATGTCAAGTTCTGCACTGCACAGGATATGTAGCATAGTAGTCTAGGCTATAGGAATGTAGAACCAGCCTGCCTGAGTTTGAATGCTGGTTTTGCCACTGACTAGCACTGTGATCTTAGGCAAAGTTACTTATCTATATCTTTTTTCCTCATCAGTAAATTGAGAATTTACTGGCAACTTTCTTCACTGATCAGATATTTGAGTATTTATTATGTTTCTGAGGGCCTTCTACATCCTGGGATGTAGCAATGAACAAAGCAGACAAAAATCCTTGTGTTGACGGAATTTACATTGTAGTGGAAGAGACAACTAAAGAAAGTATGTGGTATGTTAAATGGGCAAATGTGCTAAGGAGCAAGAGTAAAGCAGGAAGGGGGATACTCAGGATTGATGGAAATGAAATTGTAGATAGTTAACAGGAAAGGCTCACTCAGAAGATGATAGAGTAATGATCCAGGAGAAACGAGGGACTATGCCATGTAATACCTGAAACAGGGCATTCTAAGCAGGAGAAATAGCAGATGCCAAAGACAGTATGTCTGGTTTGTTTGGGAAAGTGAAGAGGCCATTCTAACTAGGATAGAGTAAATATGAGGCTGACAAGTAGAAAATAAGACGGGAACATTGTACTCATTTTAAGATTGAGAGATGATAAATCTAAAATGCTTTGTATATTACCTGAGTATATTCCTATTGCCACAGTAATGATTTATAACAAATTACATTTCAGTGATAAATGATAAATATTTATTTTTGCTGACCAATCTAAATGTTGGCTGGAAGAATTTTTCTAATCTTAACCATACACCTATGGTCATCCATGGGTTATGTGGTCAGCTCTTCTTATGCTGGTCACTTTTGCATTTTAAGGATGTAGGATGGCCAAAGCTGAGAGCATTCTGGTCCTCTTTTATGTGATCTTTCATCATTAAGGAGGCTACTGCTGCTGTGTTCTTGTGGAAGTGACAGAGTTCCGTGAGAGACGAGGAAGTGCGTAAATTCTCTAAAGGCCTACACTTGAAACTGGAGTACCATCAGCTCTGTCTGCCACATTCTGCTAGCCAAAGCAAGTGACAACACCATCCCAGATTTCAGAAGTGGCGAAATAGACTCTATCTCTTGATGGAAGGATCGAAAAATTCACATTGTGAAAGGCATAGATACATCCAGGTATGAAGAATTGACATGTTAGCAATTGGTCTACCACATGGTCACATAATACGGTCTCAGTAAATATCAACTATTTTTACCTTTGTGGATTGAAACACAAATTGTGAGTTTTGTTTTGAAGGTTTTTAAATTAGGATCATTGAGACCCTATGATAGATGTTGCAATTTTTTTTTTCCCGCCTTTGAACTTTGGGATACATTATTGTTGTCTTTTGCCTTTTTACTTTTGTCCTACAAAAGCTTAAGTTTTTAACACAATTGGGTATATCAATCTTTTATTTTGTAACTTCTGCCTTTGGTCTCTCAAGCCTTTGCCTAAATTTCTCAAATCACTTACATTACATTTCTTCTAGTACTTTTGTGTTTCATTTTTCACATTTAGACCTTTATCCATCATTAAGTTTAAATTAAAAATAAATAAGTAAATAATTTCTAGTCCTTAAAGGAATTCAAAACAGAAATTGGAAGGGGTATTAAAGAAAATCCAGCTTATGAAATATGGGCTTCTGATTTACCATAGCTTGCTCTGGAAGACCATGTTCCATTCTACCCACTCTGAGATAATCTATACCTCCTGCTTGGCATTCAGAAGGAAGCCCTCATACTTCCCAGCCACAATTAGCTGGTATCTTTGATGTCTAATCCATTTGTGGTCAAGATCAAGAGGAAAATTCTATTTCTGCCTCATATCTTAGGCAGAGTTGCAGTGACTAAAATAAACGGAGCTCTCTGACAAATTCTTCTTGCTGCAATATATAATATCCATAATATAAGGGCTACATAGTTAGATCTTATTCTAAACTGAAGTTTGTACATCTGCGCATCTTCTAGAGTCTCACAGAAATTCTTTATAAGATCCTGTAGCCTATTTCTCTGTTGTTATGTTTGAGATATGAGATGTTCCCCAAAAGCTCCTGTGTTAATGCAAGAAAATTCAAGGTACAATGACCAGATTATGAGAAATGGTCTCTCTCTGCCACAAGCTGAGCAGCTTTCCTCCACTGTGCTCTACTGCCATGATGTTCTGCCTCACCTTCCTCTGGGAACAGTGGAATTGTATGACCATGAACTAAACCTCTAAAACTGTCAATCCAAAATAAACTTTTCCTCCGATCAATTGTTGTTCCCAGGTATTTTGATCACATCTACAAAAAGCTAACACACACATCAATTTAGGTACAAAAAGAGAAACAAATAATTTTTTAAAACAGGTTGCCACTACCAGTTAGACAATGCTTTTTGGAAATCTCAGTCACTTTTTCACTTTACAGATATTTATCCACCACCTATTACATTGTTTAATGTCAGTATCACCTTACCTTAAAACTAAGCTTACAACAACATTCCCCTATAAACCTGCCTGTTTCTCTTATGCCATTGTTCTTTGTCATGATGTCACTATGTATGCAGGTCAAAAATCTGGGAGACATTTCTTGGTTTTTTCTATCTCCTTTACCTTTTCCACCAGCTACCAAATCCTAAATAGTCTTTACCTTCTTTCTCTTTTCTCTATTCCTGGTACCACCACCATAATTAGACCCTCATCATGAAACCAGCCTCAGTTTTTGTTTGCCACTAATACAATTTTCTAATGAAAACAGACGTTTAAGAAATGCAAATGTGACATATCATACTTGAGATTAAAATTCTTTAGTCTACCATTAACCTAAAATAAAATCAAAAACATTTAGTATGGTTTACAGTCTAACCCCTTCTTAGCTCTCCCAGATTTCCCTCTCACTCAAGGAACTCAGTTCTTCAGCCAGAGTTCATGTCTGCATCTTATTGGGAACAAATTTTTCTCTTTTCTTGCCTTTTCTGAACATAGTACTTATTCACTTAGCTTTAATGTTAAAAAATATACACAAAAAAGTATAATGCATGTACATATATAGATATGGCTAACAAATGAAAAGCAGCATCTATATATCTACAATTATAAGTCTACTACCTCTGAAGTCTCTCTGTGCCCCTCTCCATCCATATCACGTTTTCTTATCTGAGAGATAACCTCAGGGTTGAACTTTGCATTCATCCTCTTGCTTATCTTTATAAATGTTATTACAAGTGCTTGTTTTTCTGAATGACATATGATTTAGTTTCACACAAGGAAATTACTTTCACATGGCAGTGGTTCATTTTTTTTTTTTTTTTTACTGTTGTAAGATATTTCATTGGTGACTATTTCAAAACTTACTATCCATTTTCTTGTCCATGAGTATTTGGAGTTTTATTATTTTGTTTTCCTAGTACAAGCAATATTGCTGTGAATATTCTTATAAAATATCTTGATACATATGTGCAAGGATATAAACCTGAGAGAAAATGGTTGTTGGACGTATACGTATCAACATTACCAAAAGATGCGCAAAAAAAACTCTTTTCTGAAGTGGTGATACTAATTTACTCTCTCTCCCCGTTTAAGTTTTGTGAGTAGCCATTAATCCTCCATCCTTAGCAACTCTTGGTGTTGCCAAGCCTTTTGCCAATCCGATGATTGAAGAATGTGGCTTATATATATGATGTCAAGTTTACTGATGAGTTTATTTTCTTATCATTTGTATTTTATGCCCGTTTATATCTTTTGCTCCTTTTCCTATTGGATTACTATTTTCATTATTGAATTTAAGCGGTACATGTGTTTTCTAGGTACCTTTCACTTGTTTTCTAATATTCAAAAAAAATGTATTTGTAAAGTATTTGATCTGTGCATCTCACTGAGCTAAACTTTGGGGAAACAACTGTGGACAAGACGAACTATTCCTGTCCTCCTGGGTTTATGCCCTCACTCTAGTCAGGGAGTCAAAATAAACAAATCTCTGTAATAGTTGGATTGTGAGCGCTGCTGTCAATATCAGCTTAGCTTGTACTTACTTCCTCAGGAGAATTTGCCTGACCCCTACTAAATTTAATCTTTCTAATCCTATATTTTCATAGCACATACATTATCATTAATAATATTTGTCTTCCTTGCTAGCTGCTAGATTTCTTGAAATCAGGAGCCTGTTTTATGTTTGTTCATTTCTGCACCTCTAGAAGTTAGTATGGTGTCATTACACAGTAGATGCTTGATAAATATATTTATTGAATTGGTAGATTAAAATATGTCATCAGTAATAGTAACTAAAAATTCAGTGTTCATTGCTAATATGGAAGTAGTACAGACCTAGATTTGGCATTTTGTTATTGAAGAATATGTATAACTTTAGTAGAAAGTAGACATATCAAGCCCTATATGAAATGGCTGGTTGAAAATTTCTTTAAGAAAAATGCCAGGGGCTGGGGATGTGGCTCAAGCGGTAGCGCGCTCGCCTGGCATGCGTGCTGCCCGGGTTCGATCCTCAGCACCACATACAAAAAAAACAAAGATGTTGTATCCGCCGATAACTAAAAAATAAATATTAAAATTCTCTCTCTCTCTCTTTAAAAAAAGAAAAAAAAAGAAAAATGCCAGTTGCAGTATGTAAAAATGTGGATGCGTAACCGAGGTGATTCTGCAATCTGTATACGGGGTAAAAATGGGACTTCATAACCCACTTGAATCAAATGTATGAAATATGTCAAGAGCTTTGTAATGTTTTGAACAACTTATAATAAAAAAAAGAAAAGCAAATGCCAGTTGCTAGGGGAAATTACTACATCTAAGTATTAGTGAGCCAACTTAGATCTAGTTGTGTAATAAAAAAAAATACTAAGTAGAGTAATATGCAGTAGGAAGCTAACTGTCAGGGCGGTACTTAACAGGTACAAAGGAATTTTGAGTATGTGCTGGGGTGAGCATGAGTTGGAGGAGAAGCCATATATTAAAAGGTGTGAACTTTGTCATCACTGGGGCATTAAGTCATCACTTACAGACCCAGTTGGTAGTTCTGTAGAATAATAATCTAATGAATACTTCAGAAGCAAGGGTCTTCTAAATATATCAGTGTGGATATGAAGGCAATTGAAGGAGGTGCCAATGTGTGAACTACTGGGTCAGAACCAATCAAGCTGAAAGAAAACAGAAAGTAAACTTCTCATAAGTAGACCTGAGGTCGGCTCAGGGCAAGGAAGCCAGGTTCTTAGAATTTGGGAGTTACTTGGAACTGAGGAGATACATGCCACTGAGCAGAGTGTATCCTGAGAGAAGCAGATATACTTTGTCAGATTAAGGAAGTAATGACATGCAGCTGACCCAGACTTTTGGAAAGAGTACCCAACCCAAAGAAACCAGTATATTGAATTCGTATTCTAAAATACATCTCATGCCAGCTATATTAACTACAGAAACGGTGGATAGTAGATGATGCCTGATTGAAACCTATATATAACCTCTAAAACTTCATTCACTCATGCCACAAACATTAACCTTTTGCAGTTACTGTATTGAAGGGACTGTGCTAAATATCACAAAGATAGATAGTAAAGAAAATTTAGATCCTATTTGCTATTCACTTAAGTTGTTATTATTTGCTTTTTTTTTTAAGACAGTTTCTTACTAAGTTGCTCAGTTGCTCAGACTGACCTCAGCCACCTGAATAGGTAGGATTACAGGAGTGCACCACCAGTATACTCCCAGCCTGCTTGTTGAAATTTATTGTATAGTCCCCTCTTTATCAAAACATATTTGTGATTGCTTACCTGAAAATACTAATATTAAACATTAGCATTAATAAAATAATTTAAAAGGAAAAAGAATATTAAACAAAATATTTGAGGGAGCATTGAGTCTAATTGTTTTAATTGGGTCCAGAATTTTACTATGAGCTTTCTGGTAATAAGGACAAAGGAAAAACATTGTTAAGGTTTATCAGGGACAAGAGTTTTTCTTAGTACTATTTGTAAGATAAGCATATGCTGCTGATCATGGTATAAATTGAATATCATAATGAATTATTACATAAAGAATAATAAATACAGAAATAGACTGTGTGGTGCTAATTATTATTTTGCTCTTATTTTGTTAAAAGGCAATACAGCATAGTAAGGATAATTAGGCACATATTTAAATAATTCAAGTA